TTAGGTGGATAAGGTGGAGTAAAGTTACAGCTGGAGTCTGGGAGTTGGTTTTGGGTATATAAAATACTGACTTTCAATAAGAAAGGAGTCTCCTGAGGGGGAGAGTCCAATACAAGTGAAGGAATTGTCATTAAAACGATGGCTTTCCAACAGCACTGATCTCTATTCATTCTGTCCCTCTTTTGATTTGCTGTTAGAATTCAGCCTCATAAAGAAAATGATCTCCATTGCGTTTGGGGATTGAAGCTAATAGCTAACGGTTCATTCATTCCTTCAGCAGATGTTTGCTTGTCTGTTTTATGCCAAGCACATCACAGAACAGTGAACAAAATAAATCTCTGCTTTCATGGAACTTAAAATCTAGCAGGAAAATTGACAATAAACAGACAAGTGAAATAGTATGTCAGATGGTGATGAGTGTTACGGAGGAATGTAAAGCAGGGAAAGGAGTTGGATAGTGATCAAGAATGTGGGGGCAGGGATGATCTCAACAAGAAGGTGATAACTTGACATTGAGGCAAAGCTGAGGAGAAAAGGGAGTGAGCCATGTGGGTATCTGGGGAGATTTCCAAGCAGAGGAAACTGCAAATGCAAAAGCTCTGTGGTTGGACAATGTTAGAGCCAGAGGGGGTATTTGAGATCAACTAGTCATACTTAATTGCAAATGAAGAAACAGGCTCAACCAGAGAGAGAAGGGGATGCCTACTGTTGCATAAGAAGTTAAGGACCAGTGAGCACTGTCCCCCAGGGCCCTGGCCTCCCAAACCAGTGATCTTCGCACTGTTGCTTCTCAAAAACACATGGTGACTCTTAACTGTGCAGACTGCAGGGTATTTGTTCATTAGAGACCAGTTCATTGAAATGTTATCGCAAACCTGTGTTGCAAACTTAACTCGGAAGAATTAGTTACAGATGACTGGGTAATCAGACATACTGCTCAAACTATTCTCAAATGTCACAAGTGATTTTTCCACTTAGACACTGTTAACCTATTTCTGTTGAATTTGATATGGACCATCTTTTCTGGTTTTCCCTTTCCTTTGATCCTTTCTTATTTGAAATCTCTTCTTCCTTTTTCCTTAAATATATTTTTTTCCAAGGCTTCTGCTTTCAGACGTCTCTCTGTATTGGATTCTATGGCATCTTACTGTAATGTGGGATTAACTTCCATTTCTAATTTCTAACTGAAGACAAGAATAGGTGTTTTAAGAATTTGGAGACTCGGATTAGCAAATGATTCAAACTATAAAGCTACAATACTTTGAATAGACTTCACATATGTATGTAAGTATTCTATCCTAAGAGATTATCTCTAGATATGTTTCCACCTGACCTGGGAATCTTTGAGTTTGCCAGGCAACCTTCTGATTTATCATTCGGTCTCTTATATGGACTTCCCCATGGGGTAGGTGTGCTCTGTGAGGGTGAACCCTGGTGGCAGATTCATTTTCCATTTTGAAAGAAAAAAGATGGCTGGTTTTATTTTATTTTATTTTTTAATTTTAAAAATGTGGAGTACAATTCAGGGTTGGGTATACAAATAAATGTTCATTAGCATTCTGATTTATTACTGAGTCTCTCATGAATTTGGTTGGTGTGAGGCAATTTTCCAGGCTCCAGTCAGTTACTAGGAAATGATAACCTAAGCTTCTGAACCTGTAAAGCCTGACTGCAACCAGATACCAGACTGGGATAACCCAGCTAAGGTACTTTCTACTCTTGACAAGGCCAGAGCCTGGCATCCTTCAGTTCAAACCATACTCTTAAAGAATCTCTTAACTCCATTCTCATTTCTAAAGCTTGTCAGGATGGGATCTTACATCTATTTGACTGTGTCTTGCTCCATAACCCTAGCGTATAGCATGTGGTTAATAAAATCTGTTATAATCCTTTGCAAATTCTTATGAATCCTCCATCCTAATGGATCCCTGTCGGGGCACTGAAGGTAACATATGTAGGTAATAAAGTATGGGAATGGTCCTGCTCTAAAGCCAGGGGAGGTGAGGGAGGGTTGGGACATGACTTGGGTTTTACCAGGCTAAGGGACTGGGTAGGATGGGTAGTTGTGGAACTGAAGAAGATGAATGGGCAGGAGATGGCTGGATGGGGGCTGAAAAGGTGATATTGACAACGTTCACTGGAGAAGTGTGAGAGTTTCCCAATGCCTGCTAACACCAGGGAGGGGTCAGGGTTGTACAATGCAACCTAAGAACCTGTCAATTCAGTTTCATAGTCAGCAGAATATATGTGTATATTTTTTGAGTCAGAGTCTCACTCTGTCACCCAGGCTAGAGTGCAGTGGCATGCTCATGGCCACTGCAGCCTCAACCTGCTGGACTCAGGCGATCCTTCCACTTCTACCTTTCAAGTAGCTGGCGCTACATGTGTGTGCCACTACACCTGGCTAATTTTTTTGGCTTATTGTAGAGATGAGTCCTCGCCAAGTTGCCCGGGTTGGTCTCAAATCCTTGGGCTCAGGTATTCCTCTCACCTCGGCCTCCCAAAGTGCTGGGATTATAGGTGTGAGCCACCGCGCTTGGCCCAGAATAAAATTTAATTGTAAAGTTTTATGATTGTGTTAAAAAAGGAAAGTGGTTGCTTTGTGAGGACACACCTTCTAGGTCGTAATTCAGGCAAGTTAAGTACAGCTGTCTTGAGTTACTAGACCTGCAAACACAGGTAGGTATTGAGAATATATCTGTGTTATGATGAGTGACAAGGACAGGAGGTGAGAGTTAGAAATAAGTATGAAGGACAGTTGACTTGGCTAACAGCTTTAATGATGGTAACACTTTTGTTGTTATAACATTGCTAGTGTATTTCCTTTGCACACCTGTGGTATGTGGCTTATGCACATTTCAGGGAACAGTATCTCTGCTTAAATTTAGGACAGTGGTGTTTAAGACTATGTGGCTTTAGTCTTATTTTTAAACAGTTTTGCACACTACTTTTTAAGGAAATTGGCAGTGTTTTCAACTGTGAAAAGAGCCAGTGCTTATTCTGTGTGTTTGCCTTCGAATTTAGTATTGGCACTTCCAGTGCTATAGTTTTCCTGGTTTGTAAAATGGGAATAATAACAACATCTATTTTGTAGAGTTTTTGTGAAGATTGAGTTAATTGTGAAGTGCTTTTATCTATATTTTCTCTCATGATCCTCACAAAAATTTTAAAGTGTCCCTGTTTCTGCTTTAAGTCATTTCTGGGAAAAAGTAGCTATCGATAAAATCATCCCCATCTTACAGGTGAGGAAGCAGTCTCAGAGAGGTTAGATAACTTCCAGAAGGTAGTAGAACTTTGAAGAGGCAGGCTTCAAACCCAGTCAGACTCTGAAATGTGAGTTTTGAATATTTTGAGCTCAAGTCCATAATTACTGTATTTATTAGATGCAAAGCTCAAACCAGACCACTGGCACCACATCTGATCCTGCTTAATTGTCCTTTGAGGTAGGGTTGGGGCATGACTTGGGTCTTATCAGGCTAAGGGACTGGGTAGGATGCGTAGTTTTGGAACTGCAGAAGGTGAATGGGCAGGAGATGGCTGGATAGGAGCTAAGAAGGTGATACTGGCAATGTTCACTGGAGCAGAAGTGTGAGAGTTTCCCAGTGCCTGCTCACACCAGGGAGGGTCAGGGCTGTGCAGTGCAGTTTGAGATACACCAAACTGAACTAGAAGCTGAGACAGGGTTGTGTATGGGGTACATATGGGGCCCTCTAGCTAGTGAAGCTCTGTTCTCAGTCCAGTGGCCTTTTCTCACAAAACCTCCAAGACCCAGCCTGCTTTCCCTTCTGGGCTTGTATTACCCCAGTATAACCCAGTGGTTGACAATTCATGCTTGAAGGCACTGATCTCTAAGCTTGTTTTGTATTATATGAGTAAAGAATTTGCTGAACATGTATCCTAAGATATGTATAATTATTTATAATGCTCAACAATGCCTACTTGACAAATACTTTAAAACAGTGACAAAAATCTAACACTTGAGATTAAAAGATCTGATATTTCAAAAAACTTGGATTACTTCTTGCACCCCACTTTGCTAGCCTCTAGTCCCAAGAGTCACTTTCTGGCTGTGTGAAGTTGAGCAACTTCATTAACCTCTCCAAACTTCAGTTTTCTTATCTGCCAAATATGATAAAACTATTTGAGAACTGTGAGGGTTAAATGAAATAACTAAAGTAAAGCTCTTAACATTCACCTCCCCCAAAAGAAAGGTCTTTTCTTTTCCTCTTAAAGTTGAGTACTGGAATTCATTCTCTCTGGTTTCCTTCTTTTGCTAGCTGAAAATAGAGCCAGGTCCTTTGCACTGGAAAGATTTTACAGTTTCCTTCAAGAGATAACTAGGGGCTACCAATAATATCGAACGTGAAGACGTTATGCGGGTTTTTTTCAATTGTTTATAGTAATTATACTGGCTTGAGAGATCCTGACTTCCTTTCTTGAAGGGTACCTGGAAGCCTAAGCAGATTTTCCCCCACTTAAAGATACTTATACTAATAAAAATAACTAACATATAGTCCTGATAACTACGTGCCAAACACTGTTCTAAGCACTTCACACAATAGGAATATTATCTCAGTCCTAACTATTCTGAGTTAGGTGTCATTATTATCCCCATTTTGTTAAATAACTTGCCCAAGGTCGTACAGCTACGAATTTATGGAACCAGTACTCGAACTCGGATCGCTGCCACCTCCGACTCCACGTTCTTTCTTTACACCGGCGCTTTGGAAGCCCCAGGGTCGGAATCTAGTTTGGGTCAGGTTGTAGCCTCATGGCTAGAAGGGCGCATGCTGCAGTTTGCTAGATGAAGGGATGGACCGACGAAGAGAAGAAACATGGCTGCACCACCATAGGGAGGTAGGGGCCACGGTGGTGCCCCTCCCTGCCAGGCTGCAAATGCGTCACGGATGGGTCTCATACGCTAGCGCCGGCTGCCGCCACTTCCGGTTTTAGCCCCACCTCCTGAAGCGCCGGCCGTCGTTTCGCCTTCAAGAATTTTGTCCCCAGCGCTGACCCATCTCTCCGCCCTCGCCGCTGCCATGGCGGCAGCTCCGCCGCTCTCCAAGGCTGAGTATCTGAAGCGATACTTGTCCGGGGCAGATGCCAGCGTCGATGGGGGTCCCGAGTCCGGTCGCAAGCGTCGCAAAAAGCGGCCGAAACCTAGCGGGGCTGGCGGCAAGGGGTGAGTTGGTACCTGCGGGGGCGGGGCTTGCGGCGGTTCGCCACCCTCCCTTTTCCAACCCCGCTCTCGGCCTCCTGCTCTTCCTTCCCTCCTGGCTGGCCTTCTCCTGATTGCTCCGCCGACTCCTGCCCAAGCCCAGAACCCCACGCGAACCGCTTCAGGCTCCGGCTTGCTGCTGCCGCCCCGCTTGCGCCTGGCACCTCCGAGCAGTAGCTTCCATATGTTAAAACCAGGCTGTAACTTTCATTACTCTTTTCCCGCCTTTGTAGCTTTCCGTCCTTTCCCATAGTGGATGAATACTGTGCCCCGGGAATAACAGAGCTGATTCAAAGCCTCTGTGCTTGGAGTTTTTAGGCCCTAGAATCTGCCTGTGGAGGCGGACTTCCCCCATCCCAAGGTCTCTGGTCCTGAATCAGAGGCCTTTGAGCACATCACGCCCTGTTACTCTTAGTACTAGTAACAAGAACAGTTGACATCTTTCCTTCAGTTCATCTTGTCATTGTGCATAATAAAGATCTTGTCATTATAAGAACTTTAAACATATATGAATTTATTTAAGCATCACAACTCTACCATAAAGTATTATCGTCTCCATTTTTCAAATGGCACTGTGTAGTGGGCCCTGCCAAATTTTTGTTCACGCAGAAACTCAGAAATGTGACATTTGGAAGCAGGGTATTTGGAGATGAAATCAGTTAATAAGATGAAGTCATACTTGATGAGAGCAGATGCCAAGTCCAATATGACTGGTGTCCTTTGAGGAAGAGGGAAATTTGGACACAGATACAGTAACAGAGGAGGGGAAATGACCTTGTATAGATGGAGGCTGAGATTGGATTGGAATGAGGCTGCCAAAGCCAACATATTCCTGGGGCCTACCAGAAACTGAGAGGCAAGGAAAGATTCTCCCCTAGAGACTTTCCAGGGAGCATGATCTTGCAGACACCTTGATTTCAGTCTACTAACTTCCATAACTGTGAGATAATTTCTGTTGTTTTGTGACACCCAGTTTGTAGTACTTTTTTACAGCAGCCTTGAGCCACTAAGCTACCCACTGAAGTCACATACCGCCAAAGAACTTGAAGTTCATTTTCTTTTCTGGTTTAGCGCTTGCTTTATTACTGCCTTCTGTCTTTCTGCCCTGTTGACTTGTGTGGATCCTTTGGAGGCAGTGCCACGGGGTTAAAATAGCTTGAGCTTAGAATAACATTGATCAGAGTTTGAATCTTAGCGGTGCCACTTTAGGCTGTGATCCCTTAGGTATGATAGTTATATCTCTGAACCTCAGTTTCCTTATCTTTAAGATGAAAGTAATACTGTATAATATTGCTTTTATTAAATAGTGGTTGTTGTGATTAGAGATGTTGCACTAAGTGTTTCTGGCTTTTTTAATAACTGTTCATACCATGGCAGTCATTGTTATTATGTAGGCTCAACTATAGTTCATCCACGTAACAAACATTTATTGAATACTTCCTATACCAGATACTGCAGGGTGTTGCAAATGCCCCTATGAACAAAAAAGTCATAGTCCCTGTTCTTGTGGAGTTTATACCTTAATAGGGATACAGGCTTTAAACAACTAATTGATTTATTTTCTTTATGATGACTTCAGTGAGACTATTTCAAGAATGTTTAACAGGACTTCTTCGTCTTCGGTGGGTGTTTGAGGGTGAGGGAATGGAGAGAAGCAGCTAAGACAGGTATGCCCAAGGAAGCTACATTTATGCTACTTGAAGAATGAGAAAGAGTTCTTGGTAAGAATGAAAACAGGTCAGGCAGAGGGAAGGAACTGCATTTGTGTAAACTGATGTGGTAAGGAACTTGACTTATTTCCAGGCACCAACGAATAACAGGTTAGAGTGTCAAGCAAGAGGGTAGTGGTACCAGGTGAAGTTGGCCATGGAAACATACTAGACCTTGCAGGATCTTGAACTTCATTTTAAAACCAATAGATATATGTTTTTAGGTTGGTATCCCAGAATTACTCTTTTTAATCTATTTTTTCTCATTTAGAATGCGGATTGTGGATGATGATGTGAGCTGGACAGCTATCTCTACCACTAAACCAGAAAAGGAGGAAGAGGAAGATGATGGAGATTTGCCTGTGGTCTGTATCTTTGGGGCTGTCGGGATTTTGAAATGAAGTAAACTTCTCAATCTCTCCTTCCAGTGCAGGATAGATTGGTAGGGGGTAATGTTGAGGACAGAGAAGAGGTGACAGTTTCCAAGGAGTTGTTTAAAATAGTCTTCTTTGATGATGCCTGTACACTGACATATCTGTTTATGGAAGGCCCCGTCAACCTAGAAATGGGAACTGATAATAGAGAGAGACAGGACTCCTCAACATCAGTGGTAGAGCCATGATTAGAATTAGCCATGGATCAGTTTGTCAGAATCTACCTTAAAAACAATGTGAAGTTCAATGATAGGGAAATTTTTATTTGCCCCTTTTAGTCATTGATTTAACTAAGCTTTCAAATTGCATACTCTTGCCTAAATACTGGATATATGTAGATTAATAGAAAATTGTGTCTATATTTTAGAGATTATACCCAAGAATCAATGACTAAATTCCAAGTAATTTCAACAGTATGATAAATGTTGGAGATAATATTTCACATATCAGGTGGCATTAGAGCCCAGGAAGGCTCTCTTTGTATTCTGTTGAGAGATGTCATGAAAGATGTAAATACCTGAATTGAGTTTTAAGGATAAGTAAGAGCCTGATAGACAAAAGCATAGGCTAATAACTTCCCATTGGTAGATTCATGAACTCTTTGCTGAGAATTTCTGAGAAACAAGGTGGAAAGAAGAGCTGTTGATAGGCTGAATTGTACTAAAAGGTGGTGAATATGGGTTCCAGATGAATGTATTTAATATTGATTCCCAGCAGAATTCTAAAATAAATTATTTGAAAGATGATTTGCTAGTAATGAAAAGGAAATAGTGATCCTAAGAACCAGTTTATTTTTAGTCAGAACAAGTCATTCAAACCTATTTAATATTAAAATTTTTTAAATTTTATAAAAGCAATACATATTTTTATATATTTGGGAATTAAAGAAAGTTTAAAATTTTTAATGTAATAACCACTTACACTGTGACCATCCATAGATGACAACTGCTAACATTTGGATGTACTTGTATATCTCTTATGGAGTATACATGCTTATATTTTGTTTATTTTTTTTAACATAATTGGGATCATACTGATCATATGGTTTTAGATTCTCCTCTTTCACTAAATAATATGTTGTAAGACCTTAAAATATTCTTTGAGAATATCATTTGTAATGATTGCATAGTAGTTCAATATATATATTAATTTAACCTGTCCTATTATTACATATATGAGTTGTTTCCGATTTTAAAATATCATAAATCATTGTACATAATTTACTGTAGGAATTTGTTGATTTCTTTATTCCCATGAAATGAAATGCATGGATTAGAGGATAAGGTCCTTTTGAGTTATAGTCTCATATTGCTTCCTAAAAGATGCTACCAGTTTTTCCTTCCACTGGAGGAAATGAGAATGCCATTTTGCCTACTTCATCCGCGTTAGAGCATTATTAACAAAACAAAGCTGATAGTAATGCTATGAAAATTTAGCAGGTGAATGATGGTATCCAGTTTCTTTGAACACTAGTGAAATGATTACTTTTGGTATTTTTGTTGGGCATTTTGTGAATTTCGTTTCTTTGACCATTTTTAGAAAATTGGAATTTTGATTTTCTTCCATTGATTTATTAGGTAGTTATACAAGAACATATTTTTTTATGTTGTAGGACTATTTTATGGTTTGCCTTTTCTTTAAGTTTGGAAGTTTTTAACATTTAAAAGTTTTATTTTTTTGCAATTTTCCTTTATAATATTGTCTTTTGCTTTTCTGATGGCCCAGAAGACCTGAACAAAAGAAGCTTTGTCCCCACTACTTTTTGCATTGGTTAAAGTAGATCTTAAGCCGGGTTCGGTGGCTCAGCCTGTAATCCCGCGCTTTGGGAGGCTGAGGTGAGTGGATTGCCTGAGTCCGCAGGTTCGAGACCCGCCTGGGCAACTTGGCGAGACCTCGTCTCTACAATAAATAAAAAATTAGCCGAGTGTGGTAGCGCACACCTGTAGTTCCAGCTACTTAGAAGGCTGAGGTGGAAGGATCTCTTGGGCCCAGTAGGTCGAGGCTGCGGTGGCCGGAAGTGGCCACTGCACTCCAGTCTGGGTGATAGAGTGAGACTCCAACTCAAAAAATAAAAATAAAAAATAAAAATAAATAAATAAAGTAGATCTTAAATTTATTTTTGTTACTGCAAGATCATCACCACCACCAGTAATGATGACAGAATAACTATGATGACCATGATAGCAGTGTCATCACAAGAATAACTAGTAGGCATAATTTGTTTTGAGCACTTACCATGTACCAAGCACTACTAAACTTACGTGAATTGTCTCATTCAGTTCTTATGGCAGTCTTTTGAATCCCACTTTTACAAATGAGGAAATTGAGCCTTAGAATAATTTGCCAAAGGTTACACAGGTGTCAAGTGACAGAGCTGGGGATTTCGGTCTCAATTCATGTTTAAGGGATAAAACCACATTTATTGTTTTTTTTTTTTTTTTTTTTTGAGTTGGAGTCTCCCT